TTTTAATACCAGTGAGCCCTTCCTCAAATTCCTTGATGGAGTGCTGAGGTTGAGAGCCAACCATGCAGCATTTAGAGGAAACTATGCAAGACAGCAGAGGAAGTAAACTCATCTGGGAAATCATTAACTAAAGTGAGATAAATTTGGCTATAGAGAGACATTAAAAACCTACTTAATGAGATGATGCACCCTCTGCTTTAAAAAAATGGGCTTCCTACTCACTCATCTTACAAATGAAGCCTGTTATATCTGACAGCTCCTTGTTGCTATTTATATGTCTCAAAGCATTTTCCAAGGAAAATCCCACAGTTCACAGCCCCCAAAACAAAGTATGATGGCCAAGGGCTTTTCTAGTGTTGTTTTTGGATCTACGAGGATTTATTTTGTGTAATCTGTTCTCTCCATTCAGCTCTTAACAATAATTCTCCCAGCTCAAGATCTGGAGAGCTCAACAATCAGTGATTACAGCTCACATACAAAAATAAATGAGTCTCACTTGTGGATCAAGTCAGGGCCCCCACCTGGCTCTTACCCAAGTTGGCAAGCGCGTGATTTGGGAGCTGCCTTGGGTATCAGCATCTGTAGCTTCATCACTTTGCTACCGCTGTCTGTCTTAGCAGAGTGGCTCAGAATAATCAGGCTCTCATGATGCTCTCTTTCCCTCTATTTAGTCAATAAAAGGGGAGAGGGATTCAGGGAACTTACAATGTTTCTGTTTTTAAATGTCTGTAATTTTAAGAACTCACTGTATTGGTTTTTTGATCCATATGAGAAATTTAAAGGGAAAAAGAAGATAACCTAGTGAGCAGGAATCTGAAATGTCTTAGTCATGGACACTGGAGAGGTTATAGTTTTAATCAAAAGGGGGAAGACGATGTCCAGAATCTCTTGAGACCTATGCTTCTGAGTTTTTAAATGCGTAGGCCCCACTCTAATTAATCTGATTTAATTAGCCTGGAGTTCAGCCTGTACATTATTTTTTCTAAAGCTTCTCAGGCAAGTCTAATATGTAACTAGGATTAAAACCCATTGACTTGATCTAAACTCATACTACAGAGCAAAAATCTTAGCTGAGTAAGGTTGAATGACTCATTCAAAGTCATCAAGTTAGGTAGAAAGATAAGGAACGTGAACTTGGAGCAGGTAAACCTGGATTTAAACCTTAACTTAATTACCCACTGTCTGCGTGACTGTGGGAGAACCTCTGAGAATCTCACTTTTTATCTCTAAGATAAGGATACTGTCTTCTAACTTATAAGGTTTATTGTGGGGTAATTGATAGTCTCCTGTCTATATTTCATGTGGTGCAATGCTTAGCACTTGATAGGTTCTCAATAAACAGTAGTTATTATAACGTTATTATTATTTACTATTATGGAACCCAGGTTTCCTAATTACCAATCTGGGGCTTTCTAAAGCCCTACCACAAGTCTGGAGTAGAGACTTGGACTTCTAAACTGAACTCACAGCTCCTTGCTTTATCCAGATCTTTAGATAAGACTGGGTTTGGGAAGGAATGACTCTTATTGATGGAGGAATCTACAGCTGTGAAGACACATATGGTTTTGACCATGGAACATAACCCAGCCACTAACTATATAGGTAAAGAATTTGCAAGAGCAAATGTATAGTTAGAGCAATGTTTCCAAATCAAAGACTTCAGAATAAAATCCTGTTTCAGGATCCTTCCGAAATTTACTGTGTAAAGGAATTTGATGGTAAAGAATCTTGTTGTGAAGCAAATAATCACCTTTTTATATTACAGAGTTTGCTTCGTTAGGTCTACCTTTAGGTCCATTGAGAGGCTCCCAGGAATGTCTGTTCACTGCTGCAGTTACATGTAACACTGTAAATACAACAGCTCCTTTCCTTGACTACATTGGTGGGATTTAAAAATTCTGTGATGACATCATCACCCATTTAGATGCTTTGATTATTCTGTGTTGACTGTCTGCTAAGTAAAGGAGCATAAAAGCTACTAAAAGTAGTGTCAAGAATGCTGGGGATTTATTTATTGTCATTACGTAAATGTAGAAAGCCTCTTTGCTAACATCTGCTGAGATTTAGGTGTATGCCACCAAGCAAGGCAATAGGCTGCACTATCTTCCTTAATGGATAGTACTTGTTCTTTAATTAACAGCTCAAAGCACTTTGTTGTCTGGGCCTGATTTTCTAATCCTACTGAAATACAGTGATCTGGGCACAGCAACGATAACTCCATAGGAGAGCAAATTCAAAGTGCTAAGCTATGAATCAGGTAATGAATGTGCTAAGTAAGCTCTTGTAAGACCTCAATCACCACTCTGGATGGAAAAGAAAACTTCTGCGTAAAAAGAGTCGAGATAGTTGCAATTATAATTACAACTAAGCACTCACTCTTGGGAGCTGTGTTGAGGCAATCAGCACTAAGATCAGAGTCACTGCTGATATTTGAGGCAGGAAGCAGCATAGAGGACCTATAAACCACTTGTATCTTGCTTTTCAAAGGAGCATCACAGATCACTCAACTGGTTTGCCAGAATTTACCTACTGCAAATCTTTGAGTAGATTTTATTAGATAGCCCCAAATCGAAGGCCCCCTAGACAATCAGCAGGGGTAAGATATATTTTAATGTAATCCCAGCTGACTGGAAATAATCAGAAGGTTGGCAAGTCTTTATTAATTCTCAATTTACCCACTTCCTCAAATTTTCTTTATAGAACCCATTTCTAGGAACGAAAATGAATGAGGTAGGCGTGTCTTGAGATGGTAAAATGAAAATAATTGCTCTTTCCTGGCTCCTGGGTGCTTCCCCACGTGCCTGGACACAGATAGATGATATTCCACCATTTATTCCACATTTACTGTTATTTCAAAGTTGTTTCAAAATGCCACCTATCCATACAGAAGGGCTATCAACTGGAGTAAAAAAATCTTGGCAAAACTGAGTTCTCTGGAGAGACGCTGCTACCCTCTTTTACCACCAGATGAGAACTGCTAATCGAGAATGCAGTAAATTTCGGATAGCCACCCTATGGGGGAAAAAAGAAACCGTGTTCCAGAAAGCTTGCTTTTGCTATATCTCTGACTCCTGGAAATCAGGGGATTCTGCTTCTAGAATAATGGGCTACTCACTCACCATTTATCTTTAGAAGATTTATGCACATTCAGCTCCAGTTTGACCCATTGCATTTTTACACCAGAAATGATTTTGCGTAGTCTAGATCAAAGGCTTAAGTCACCCAAGATCTCATGGCTATTTAGTGGTGTATATCTGGGATATGAGGGCAGGACTGTGTCACTCGAGGGCTTGGACACTTAACCATTACACCATACTGCCCACTGCACTGAAGGAATAAAGCTCTGTGTGGCATCTAAAATTTCCCCTTGCTTTTCCTCATACGTTTTGTGGGGTTTTTGCCTAGATGAATAATTATTGTGGTAGCTACATTTTTAATGTTAAGAATCATATTTTTAGATCTGGATGAAACCTTGGCGATGTCTAGGTTAATCAAACTCAGTATCCTCACATCACAGACAAGGAAACTTAGATCCAGAGAGGTTGTGTGACTAGCCCAAGATTTGGTGACAGAGCTGGGAGTAGAACGCAATTCTCTTGAATTTTTATCTGGTAGTTTGTCCACTATTATATAATACCATTTTTGCACAGTGGATGTATATTCACCTAGAAAAGTCTAGTGGTCAGTTGGCTATATGTGTCTGAAGCTCAGAAGAGAAATATGGACTGAAAATATAGGTTTGGAAATTGTCAGCACGTGGGGTAATTATTCCAGGCTATCTTGGTTCTCTTTCCAGACATCTGACCTCTCTTTTTGTACCCATCTATCCATCCATCTAACCATCCATCACTCTAGATATATTTTTTGAATATCTACTATATGTCAGATACTTTTCTAACTGCTAGGAATACATTGGAAAAAAAAGAAACAAATCCCTACCTTTGTGGGGTTTACATTCTATAAATTATATAGTCCGTTAAAAGATAATGTGTTATGTAAAAAATAGAGAGGGTAGGTAGGATTGGGAGTGTGGTAGAGAGGGCTGCATTTTTAAATAGGTTGTCAGGGTCACTGACAAATGAGACATTTGAACAAATACTTGAAGAACATGATTGAGTTAGCCATGTAGCTATTCAGGGGAAGAGTATTCCAGGTAGAGGGAAAAGCCAGTTCAAAGGCCCTGTAATGGAAGATTGCCTGGTGTGTTCATGGAATAACATGGAGGTCAATATAACTGTAATTGTGAGTGAAAGGCAGGATAGTAGTGGGAGACAAAGTCAAAGAGACAATATGAGAGAGGGAGGAAAGATCATAAAAGGCCTTTTAATGCACTAAATTGACTTTGGCTTTATTATGAGTAATAGGGAGCCATTAAAGGGTTTTGAGTAGAGGGACATGATCTGGCTCAGGCTTTTAAAAGGACTACTCTGCCTGCTCTCTTGAGAATAGGCTATGAGGAGCAAGAGTGAAAGAAAAAAACAATTTAGGAGGCTATTGCAATAGTTCAGAAAATGTATAGTTGTGAATATAACCTGCATCATAGTAGTGGTTATCATGAGGATAGTAGAATTCTAGATTTATCTATGTATATTTGAGGGTAGGCCTGATAGAATTTTCTAACAGATTAAACACGGAGTGTGAGGGAAATAAAGTAGGTAAAGATGACCTTTAAGTTTTAACCTGAGCCACTGAATGGATGGAGCTGCTACTACTATCTGAGATGGAGAAGGGTACTAGTGGAAAAGGTTTGAGGGCAAAGAGTAGTAGTTTTGTTTTGAACATATTAAGTTGAGATGTCTATTTGACATCTAAGTGGAGATAACAGGTAGGCCGCTGAATATAAATTTGGGGTTCAGAGGCAAGGTCTGAGCTAAAAATATATTTTAGGGTCACTGGCATATAGATAGTTTTGCAGCCATGAGATTGGATGAGATCTTCAACGGTATGAGTGTAGCCAGAGTACAGGTCCAAGTACTGAGCCATGCGGCTCTCCAATGACAAGAAGTCAAGGAGAACAGGAGGGTATAACCAAAGGAGACTGCGAAAGACAAACCAGTGCGGTGGGAGGAAAACCAGTAGTGTTTCTGGAAGCCAAGTGAAGAAAGTATATCAATGAGTAAGGAGTAATCAACTGTATCATATATCGTTATTAGGTCAATTAAGAAGAGAACTGAGAATTAACCACTGGCTTTAGTATTGTAAGGTCACTAGTGTCTTTAAACAAAGGATATTTTGATAGAGGGGTGGGGCAAAAGCATAAATGAAAAAGATTTAAGAGAAGAGAAAAAATGGAAAGATTAAGTCTCTTGAGGATTTTTGCTGCTAAGGGGTGTACATAAATGCAAACTATTTTTGCTCTTTTAAATTTCGAAATGTTGGAACTCCTCAGGGTGCTCTGCTTGGTTGTGTTCCATTCTTAATCTATATAATCTCTCTGGTGGTCTCATTCATTCTTACATCTTCAAATGACCCAATGTTTCAAGAAAGATGAAGGGGTCATTATACTAAATATAGCAGAGAGATAAAATCATTTAAGGACTAAAAAGTATCCATTGGATTTAGCACCCAATATCTAAATGGAAATGCATTAGAGTGATGAATCATTAACTACTGTTTTATTTTCAGTGCCTTTTACATGAAAGTGTTCCAGGAGAGGGTAGACTCGGAGTTGGGCTGGAGAGGTATGTGAGACCAGGAAGCAGTTGAACTTAACTAAAGTATGGGGAAGTGGCAAGTAGAAATGATGGATTGAAGATAGTCACATGAAGCAGATCAGTGAGAGGCTTTTGGAGTGAATTTATGGTTACTGGGAACCCCAGGACTTTTAGGGTTCTGTATATGTGACAACACCTGGACGAAATGTCAGGTGGGAGAGAGGGGAAGGAATTGATGCTAAAGATACTTTCTAATGAAGCAACAAGACAGAAGCAGATTAAATGGGTTCATAAACAGCCCCTAAATCACATGACCTTATTGCTGAGAGGCCACTGAGTACAAGAGAATATACCAGAGACAGGCGGGGTTAAGCACCGGGGTTTATATCAGACAGGGTTGGTGGGCTCTGGAGAAGATAAGGGATCCAGTCATACCAAATCCCTGCTTTTTCTGTCTCAACTGCTGTTCCCATCTCACCTTGCTTGACAAAGTCTTAGGCCTGTTAACAAAAGTGGCACTTTTGCCATGGTTTTAGCAGAGAACTAAGGGAGGCCTCTGCATTAGTATTTTCCCCCCTCAAACTGAGCGCCCTCTTAAATAAAATTCAAGTCCTTAAAAGGAAATAGAATACCAGTTTACTTTAAGCTGAGTCAGGAGTGTTATTTTTTGAATTCATTTTCAAAGCCAGTTTCCTTCCCAGAAGCCACCACTTTATTGGTACTAATTACCCTGTCAGCATCCTTAAAACAAACCTAAAGAACTAAAGGATTGAGTTGTGGAGGTAAATGCTCCCTTGCACTCTGTGGCCCTTCCAACTCAGAACTGAGAGGGCATGGCTGTAGGTGAGAAAATATAAATGCTTTTGAGAGATGTCTGTTTCCTTTACTAGAGACTATTAAAAATTAGAGCCTCCTTAAGCAATATATTTCTACATTCATTTAAAGACTAGTCAACAATGAGGTCTATGTGTTATACACAAGGTATCTGAACTATTCTTTCGAAATTCAGGAACTGAACATACCGCAAAGTCATTCCTTGCACCCAACGTAGAAATTACAGGTTATGAGCCATCCTGTTAGATTAGACTTGATTAAGACTATGAAAGCCTAGTGTAGGCTGATAATGTGATAAATGAATGATTAAGCCAGCAGGATTCTACTTTTATACAAGCAGGAGGTTTTAACACTGCAATGCCTAAGTGCATGGCTTTTGAAGTGAAAAAAAGGTAGTATCAGGGATGCACGGCCTTCTCTATTCTAAAAGCAACACACTGGAAGAAAGGGAAAAAAATCCATTGCCCATTTGTAGTGATGTTGGCACTAAGAAGAGTAAGAGACAAGGGTACAACAATGCCACTCATTCACCTAGGCACTAAACACAAATCCAGAAACGGTCACATGAGCTGGCCGGTAAGACGTACTAGGACCATCTTTTTCGCCATTCCCTAATTCTCCTGCGACATGCTAATTATTCTCCTAATTTGGTCCTCTGAGATGCTGGACTCCTAAATTTCTTACTGGTTTGGAAGGAATTCCCTGACGACAAACAAGTTCAAAGATTGGAAGAAGGTATAAGAACATTTTTTACTAGCAAGAGGGGCCAAGATGATTTGTTCAACCAACCCTGACTGATTCTAAAATTCTCTCAGTTATGAGCAGACCATACTAAATAGAATGTGGATCCCTGTGAAGGCCTGATTTAACGATTAACTGATTCCTATGTAAGGTAGCAAATAAAATAGTTGTCTGAAGTCACATGTGAAAGGTTCATGTTTATTGTGTTAGGTAAGTTAATTTGAGGTATGGCCTGTACCCCTGAGTGTGTCCCTTAACAAACAGTTCTCAAAAAAAGATTTTTATTGATTTTTAGAGAGAGAGGAAGGGAGAGAGAGAGGGAAACATTGACTGGCTGCCTCCTGAAGGCCCCCTACCCTGGATTGAGCCTGCAAACCCAGAGTGGGCCCTGACCAGGAATTGAACTGGCAACCTTTCAATGCACTGGACGACGCCCAACCAACTGAGCCACACCAGCCAGGGCCCTTAACAAACAGTTTTAATCTCTTAGCACCATTGTGGTGGCTCCCTTAAGTAGGCCACCCATTACCACTAGAAATGTGGGAAAAGCTTTAATGAGGCTTGGGTTATGTGAAGATGTAGATTTTGATCGTTTAAAGTAAATAAAACCCCAAATGGATCTGGAAAACAGACTGAATCAATTCTTATTGCTGCTACATTTAAACTGAAAAATGGCCACCATATCTTTGCAGATGTTTTTAAGAGTCTAAGGAGAAACCTATTAATTACTGACAAGATAGATACGGAGATAATTTCCACATGAACTGCATTGACTGAATGGCTGCAAGTAGTCTGACTTAGTCTCAATATTCCTCTTTGCCCTCACAGTGAGCTGAACCTGACCTCACTGTCTCCTGCTGTCCATCAGTTGAACAGCAGTAGTTTGAGTGATGTGTGAATAGCTGCTAGTAGTGGAGGACTGTTAGCACCAAATTTATATTCTCATGTGCCTCAGGAAGGCTCAGAACATACTCTATTTCTGTCACCATCAGAATGTAAGCCAGTTATGAAAAGGAGAGACTGCAAATGACAGTGTTGAGCAATTTGTGTCAGGTGCCTCCTTCTGTACCAACACACTAGAATTCCTTACTAGATGACATTAAAAATATGTTTTATCATTTGTACTGCAACCAGCATACAGAAATCTACTGCTCTGTGCATAAAATTCATCTTTGCCTACTAAGAGTAAATTTCCCTGTCTTCTGTTTTCTAGGTGAAGCTTCTGCACATACATCTATGAAACCCTTGGGTACTCTTTTGAAAAAGAAGAAAGTGTTTCTAGACAAGAAAACACTGTGATCTGTGCGGAGAGAAAGCAGAACATTACTTGGATTTGGAGGGAAAAGCGTGCAGCTTTTACAGTGTATGATCTCCTTTACGACGGGCATATCTGGTGGAATTGGAGGAGGTACTATTCCCAAGCCAGGCATCATCGGCGTTATTGGTGGAATTCCGGTCATCATTCCAAGAGCAGGATCAAAGTCTAAAAAAGGAAAGGAAAGAGAGAGCAATAAATGACACCAGGCAAAGTCAAGTGGAGGCCGAATGTTACCTTACAAACTTCACACCAAAGACCTCTCTAACACAGAGGCAGGACACTTAAGAAAACATGGTATTAGCATTTTCCAGGTCTTAAATACTGTATTATAGTATACTCATGAATTTTCCTTTTGGGATGGGGCTTTTGGTTATATTTGACCAGTGCCTCTTTGTCTCTGCATCTCATTATGCCATCCAAGGCCTTTCATAATATGACTGTGCCTTGTCTATTGGTCTTGCCTTCCCCTGGTTCCCAGCACACATCCTCTGCTCAGTTCAGACAGGGCTTCTTGCTATCCCTTGTAACACTTCCTGGCTCTCTGCAGAATAGCATGGTGTTAAGAGAATATAGTTTTGGGGACCAGGCAGACCTGGTTCTACCATTTGCTTAGCAGAATGAATCTTCTGACCGTCCATTTCTTCATTTGCAAAACAGGGTTAATTCCATCTACCTTATAGGGAATTGTGAGGAATAAACAAAATGATGAATCATAATGTATAGTACAAAATGCCCAATAAAAACTCTTTTCTGTGCTTTCTTTCATGTTGATTTCCCTGTGTGGAATCATTTGAGCCTCCCCAAATTCTCCCCATGCCCACAGGTCTGGCTCAAGGCCCAATCTCACTAAAGAATGCTTTCCAGATAATTCTGGTTCATTCTTAACTCTGTGTCTAAAAACTATTTGTTCTACACACGTTGCCACTGAATTTTATTTTACATCATCCTTTGTTTAATTCAGGGATGCTTCTAGGATGCATGGGGGCCCCAAAACAAATATTTTTTGTGGGGCTTGCCTATATACACAATTTGATTCACTCTAAATCAGCATCAACACTATTCTGTTGGCACAATCTCACAAGATACCACAAAAGAAATACCATACCAGGCAGCTGGAGTGCTTTACTTGCCAAGCTACTCTCCTGGAACCAAGACTCTGGAAGGACTCCATAGGCATGGGCACTGAGGCTCCTTGGGGGCATCTAGTTGACTACACATTTCGGATTGAGGGTTGGAGAGTACCTCCAAAGGGGGACATGGGAACTGGTGTCCATGCAGATTCATTTTGAGATTGGGGCTCCTTGCTTAGATGACATTGCAAGCCCTGGTCAGTTCTAGACACTGGAGGGGAACTTAGAAAATCTCAAGAAAGGTGCTCTTGCTATCAAACACCACACAGGACTTGCTCTGGACTTGGGGTACCTACCCGGATGGCACTACCCGCCTAGTCAGTGCTCAGTAATGGAAGGGAACTTAGAAAATATCAAGACAGGCATTCTGAAGAATGAGATCCCCTGAGGTGTGGGCCCAGGGCAGGGCCTCTACTTGCCTGGGTGTAAAGGTGGTACTTCACTGTTTACATTTTGTCTCTATATCAAAATGCAAGCTCTTTGAGAGAAGGGTGCACATTTTACTTCTTTATTTTCCCACCTTTCAACCCTGTTCTCTGCTACAGAATGTCCGGTGGACTGCAAACAAAGTATTACATACGGTGTTCTGGTAATGTGGGGGCAGTTGCAGGTCCTATGCCTGAAAACTTTGCTCTGCTCAACACACAGGGGCAATGCTTGTAATAATGTCCTTAAGGTGGCTCGGAATCCCCTGGGTGGCTCTCTAAGATTTTGAAGGATGTAGATCTAAGCAGTGGGAAGAATCTGTGGTTCTTACAAAAGCAGAACTTCGGGTACAATGGGCCCAGTGGGAGGGAGTCTCGTGATCAGGCAATTAGGCAGGTGGGTGACACATGGGCATCCCCCATTGCAAGCCAGCCCAAGGTTCTCAGGGCATTCCGCATGCTCTCACATGCCTGTCATGCTGAGATGTCAAGACCCTCGACATGTATGGGAAGAAAAAAATTTCTTCCAAGAGGAAACTTGATTTTTCTGAAAACAAATATACTTTTAGCCCTCATATGTCACCTCACCCAACATACATGTGTACATACACACTCCTTCCCTTCCTCCCTGTGGTTCTCATATCCCTACTCTCTACATACTAGTTATATGACCTGGAGGCAGGTTTCATTAATATCTGTGTGCCTCCATTTCCTTTTTTTTGTAAACATGGAGATAAAGAATGACATTTATCTCAAAGAATGAAAGGACAGAACAGATAAGAAAACCTCTGGCATGATAGGCGGTAGTCCTGATAGGTAACTTTCCTTCTTGTCATTCAAATCATGCACACACACACTAATAAATTCACTTATGCAGGCATTCATTCCACATTCCTCAAACATTTGTGATAGCCTTCCATATTTCAGGCTCTAGACAGATGGAGATGGGGGTCCAGGTCTTCCTTTCCATCTCGGAGAACTTAAGGCCCCTGATACTCTGTTCCTATGCTGTAGGGTGAGAGCACTGTGGTTAAGAATATCATTTGTCTTTGGAAAATTTCACTCCTTGCATGTAAGATTTTGGAAAACCTGTTAACATTACTTTACCCATTTACAAACTGTTAATTTTCAGCAGGAAAAGATTAGATTAGATTGTGTGCCAACTAAACAATCCCATCTATTTTTCCCTCCTACTGAAATGTTTGTCTTCCTTTCATTGTTCTGCCTGCCTCCTCATTGTTATTCATACAGCTCTGTCACTCACAACTCTACTTTACCACAGATTACAGAAATATCAGTTCATTAAACAAGTCCTGCCACTTCCTGAGAAAGAAATGCCTGTCTCCATGTACTGTCTACTAATAAATGGAGACAAACAAAAAACAAATACACAGGATAAATATAACTCCTGACTAATGTACTCACCGCTCTGCTGTTTGGTATGATTACATTAATATTTTATGAAATTCATTTAAAAGCAAATGTATTCATGACATAGGGCTAAAGCCAGAGCAGATAAACCCCTTTCTTCCTTGTGTTCAATATGCCAAGAGTTCCACAGACTACACTGCCCAGCAGGGCTTGCTAGAGGGCAAGTTGTACATGACATTTCAAAGGTTCCTATTACAATGATTATTTCTTTTCTTTATTTTCAACCATTAAGCAGCAAAGGAGATGTGAATTTCCAATGCCAACTAAGAAAATAGCCATTTGAAAATCATGGGTCTTATACAAGCATTGTAGAACCTGAAAAATAAAAGAAGTCCAGCAATTTAAAACACCTTGGCAATAGAACACCAGAAATTCTCTCCCTTTTCCAGGCCCCTGACCTGGCTTGAGGAGCACTGCCAATAAGTACTTAGTACTACCATTTATATTAAGAATTTAATCTTCTGAAGGAGACTGAAATTGCTTTATAAAGTGCTGTGGAAAAGGACAAGAGGCATTCCTCCAAACTCCTTTTTCCAATAAATATCTTGTTTTGTTTTGCTTTTACCATCTCTTTTTCTAGCACCCTTTCCTCACTGCTTTCTTGACTCTTGGCACAGTCATTGGTGGGAGTGTCGTAAGATGTTGGTTTGTATTCCCTTTTCTGAATCGTGCACTTTCCCAAACCCCAGCTTACTGGAAATGCTGCAAATGCCGTGTGTTAGTTGAGCCAGCTTGCTCCTCAGAGTTAAAATCATGTAATGTTTCAGTGTAGCCTTGAGCCTTCCGGCTGCCTAGCAACTTGCACTTACTTACCTAGAGTAGTTACCTGGCAATATTATCATCCTCCATTCTCTGCACATATTTGAGTTAAGGAGTTACAGTGGAGGCAAATGCCCCTTCTATGCTGCAGTTCAGTTATACATTTGTCCATCCATTCCACATTTTGATGCCATGCCCTCTACCGGGTGTTGAGGTTAGAGGAATGAGCAAGACAAAACCCTTGACCTCATAGTTTAGTTTGGAAAAAGTCAAGTAAACAGTTACAATGCTGTATCATCAATAATTATCATCACTATAATTGTTTATTGGGTGCTTACAGTATGCTAGGCATTATGCTAAGCATTTTATATAATCTCATTCTAAAAGACCTGTGAGCTAGATATTATTATTCTTCATTTTATAAAGAAACAGGGGCTCAGAGGGGTTTAGTTACTTGCCCAAGGTTACACAGCCAGTAAGGGGCAGACCTAGGATTCAAACTCAGGTTAGTCTAACTCTGATGCTCTTAACCACTGCACTGCTACTCACTGTAATATGACAATTGTTTTAATGAATTAATTTAACTGCAGGTATAAGGTGAAGCAGGTGTGCTGAAAAACATGGCAGATGAGTAACAAAATACTTCTACATAATTTTTCCGAGTGTGGTGGATTAAAGATAGATACAGGTCTTTGATACTACTCTCATTAAAAGGTGAGGTCTAGGTCCCGCCCCCTTGAGAACCTAGATGGGCTCTAGAACTGATTTGACCAATAGAATATGGAAGAAGGGATATTGCATCTGTTTTTAGGCCCAGGCCTTAAGAGAGAAAAAATTTCCACATATCTCTGGGAACACTTGCTATGGGAGCTCCAAGTCACCATGTAACATGTCCAACTACCATGCCAGGGAGACCATGTGGAGAGCATCTTGGAGTAAATAGAAAGGGAAGGATCTAGCTGAGGCACGTCTTTTATCTGTCCTTGCCAAGGTGCCATGCATATGAGTGAAGTCTTGGAGCCTCCATACTAGCCTGCTAGAGCCGAGGCATTCCAGTTGATACCATACGAAACAGAAGAACACCCATTTGAGTCCTGGCCAAATTCTTCGTCCAGAAAAATCTTAAAATGAAAAAAAATGATTGTGTTTTAAGTCACTAAGTTATAAAGTAGTTTGTCATACAGCGATAGGTAAACAGAATATGCTGCATGCTTGGGGTCTGGGGTGTGACTGGTTAATAGAGTTAGCTATTTTCAGAGAGTGAAAATAGAAAATATACTAAGCACCCAAACTAGACTTACTATGATTTTTCTGATTATTGAAAAGGTGCTTTGGGACCCAGCAGGGCCCCAGAGACACTGTTTTGAGCAACTGCTGTCACTGTATTATTGCTGTGTGGAAGGACCAGTTGGAACAATGACAGATGGCTGACACTGTACTAGATGTACTAAGGCTAATGATGTCTACAAAACACTCGAAACCTCAGAGGCTTCCCATTTTTGATGCCTGACAAAGATAGCACACAGGCCAGTTTTGTAGTTCAATTCTTGATATTTTCTGGCAGGCCAGTTCACTCTGTTTTCTTCCCGTAGAAAGCAACCTCCACTTTTGTGGCAGGGATGGGGGATGGTGTCCAAAGTTTTGCTACTCATTAATTGAGTGTATGAATTTCCAAGTTTTATATACATCATCTCACTTAATCTTCACAACAATCCAAAGAATAGGCAATATTATTACTGTATTCCCTATTTTACAGATGAGGAAATTTAAACTCACAGAGATAACATAGTAAGGCCACCCAAAAAGTAGCTTTTACTAACTATGCTCTCAATCAATAGTATACACTGCTCCACATTATATACAGGTGGCTAAGCACTGAAGATTATTTTGTGGGCATAGATTTATGTTTAGATGTGATAATTTATACATAATCTGAAATAAGCTAACATTTAGTGTTCTTGGTATCAGGGCAGATCGGGCCTCAAGATTTTTCCTGGGACATATACCTATACAGTTCATGTTACAAAAAAATATGCACACTCTAGCAAATGTCAACATCAAAATACATTGTGTCATACTGTTATATTTATGACCACATGGTCAATAAAAAGAAACACTTGTAAGGTGATTAAAAATAGCATACCAGGTAAAATTGGTTGTCCAGCAACTCCCAGTGGTGCCATTCCAAGATTATTCATTGCCGTGGCCCATGCAGTTGGATCAGACATAGGTAGCGTCATTGCAGTGGAATCCACATTCAGAGTTCTACTATTATCAGCTAAAAAGAAATGACAAGCAAAATAATTTGTTGTATTACAGCTTCAGTGTCTAGATGACTTATCAATGTACACTCTGGCAAACTCTTTACAGAAATTGACTGATGGACAAGTGGTGGGCAAGGACTTAATTCCAGCTCTTCACAAGGGTTAAAACAATAACAGCTCAAACTGGCAGGAAGTTACAGAGTTTGAAAACAGTTTACCAGATGGCATTTTAGAGTATTTCTTTCTCTCTCTCTCTCTCTCTCTCTCTCTCCTCTTTCTTTCCCTGCTCCTCCCCTCACTCCCTCCATCCCTATTTCTCTCCCTTTCTTCCCCTTCCCCCCCCTTTTTTTTAAAGAGCAGTTTTAGGTTCACAGAAAAATTGAAGGGAAGGTAGAGGGATTTCACATATAATCCCTGTCCCCACACATGTACTATAACTTCCCCCATTATCAACATCTGCCACCAGAGTGGTACATTTGTTACAGCTGATGAACCTATATTGACATATCATAATCATCCAAAAGCCATAGTTTTAACACATTAGGATTCACTCTGATGTTGTACATTCTATGGGTTTGGACAAATGTCCATCATTATAGTATCATGCAGAGTATTTTCACTGCTCTAAAAATCCTCTGTGTTCTGCTTATTCATTCTTCTCCACCTTCCAGCCCTGGTAACCACTGATCTTTTTCACTGTCTCCATAGTTTTGCCTTTTCTAGAATGTCCTATTGTTGGAATGGTACAGTATATAGCCTTTCCAGATATGCTTTTTCAATTTAGTAATATGCACTTAAGGTTTCTCCATGTCTTTTCATGGCTTGATAGCTCATTTCTTTTTAGTGTTGAATAATATTCCATTTTCTGGATATAATACAGTTTATCCATTCACCTACGGAAGAACATTGTGACTGTTTCCAAGTTTTGGCAATTATGAATAAAACTGCTGTAAACATTTGTGTGCATGTTTTTGTGTGGACATAAATTTTCAACTCCTTTGGGTAAATACCAAGCAACATAATCACTAGATCGTATGGTAAGAGCATGCTTAATTTTGTAAGAAACTGTCGACCTTTCTTCCAAAGTGGCCATACCATTTTGCATTTCCACCAGCAACGAATGAGAGTTCCTGCTGCTCTACATCCTCACCAGTATTTAGTGTCAGTGTTCTGGATTTTGGACATTCTTACAGGTATATAGTGGTATCTCATTTTAATTTGCATTTACCTAATAATATATGATGTGGAACATCTTTTCATATGCTTATTTGCCATCTGTATATCTACTTTGGTGAGGTGCCTATTAAAGTCTTTGGCCAATTTTTAATTGGGTTATTTTTGTTTTTATTGCTGAGTTTTAAGAGTACTTTGCATATTTTAGATAACAGTCCTTTATTGGATGTGTATATTGCAAATATTTTCTTCCAATCTGTCTGTGGCTTGTCTTTTCATTCTCTTGACATTGTCTTTCACGGAGAATAAATTTTTAATTTTAATTAAGTCCATCTTATCAATTATTTCTTCCATGGACTGTGTCTTTGGTGGTATATCTAAAAAGTCATCACCATACCCATGGTCATCTAGATTTTCTCCTCTGTTATCTTCCAGGAGTTTTATAGTTTTGTGTTTTACATTTCGGTCTTCAATCTACTTTGAGTTAACTTTTGTGAAGGGCATACGGTCTGTGTCTAAATTCATTTTTTTTTTTGCACGTGGATGTCCAGTTGTTCAGAACTATTTGTTAAAAAGACTATTTTTGCTTCATTGTATTGTATTTGATTCTTTGTTAAAGATCAGTTGACTCTGGTCTATTTCTGGGTGCTCTATTTTATTCCATTGACCTATTTATTCTTTTACCAATACCATACTGTCTTGATAACTGTAACTCTACAGTAAATTTTGAAGTTGGGTAGCATCAGTCTTCCAGGTTTGTTCTTCTCCTTCAATACTGTGTTGGTTATTCTGGGTCCTTTGCCTCTCCATATAAATTTTAGAATCAGTTTATTGATATCAACAAAGTAACTTGCTTGGGTTTTGATAAAAATTATATTGAATCAGTTGGGAAGAACTGACATATTGATAATATGGAGTCTTCCTATCCATGACTATGAAATATCTTTCTATTTATTTATTTTACTCATCAGAGTTGTACGGTTTTCTGTTTTGTTTTTTTCAAGCATAAACACCACAGGAGCTTGGGATGATTAAGAGGTTTCCCATTCTTTTCATAGCCTAGTTCCATATGATTACTTCAACAAAGCTTCCATTCAAACTACTATGCATTCTAGCCCAGGAAAAAAAAACATCCAAGGGCTTCCACAGTAGCAATAAAAATAAAAAATTATATTCCTGATATAATTTCATATCTTTGAGGCAGTATTATTGAATAGAGCTGGACATACAATCAATAGACATTAAATTAGCCAACTGAGTATTTTTAGAGTTAGAGGGATACCAGAGGATAAGCAGATAAGAGACATAGTCTCCGCATCCAAAGGTTATACAATCTAATTGAAGAGAACGATGATGATGGTGATGATGATTATTGTTATTGCTACTCTATCTCCATCCATTACTACCACTAATTATTGAACACTTGCCATATGCTAGGTAGTAGAGCACTTAGCATGTATTATTCTCATTTAACTTTCAAACAACCCCATGAGATAGGGACTATTTATATCTCCATTTAATAGGTGAGAGGACTTGAAAGGTCACATATACTGTCCAAGGTCACACAGGATGTGTACGTTTAGCCACTATGTTTTACTCTCTCCAATTAAACAATTAGGAAACATGAAAAACTCAAATAGTGTAGTTAAAAATACTACTGAAGTTTAAGGAATGAAGAGCTACTGTGACTTGAGTAGGTGGGAAATGCTTCACGGGGAAGATAGAATTTGAAAGAATAAGCCAGATTTCCATAGAATATGTCTTGAGTGATAGGTAGTTATTAGAGAGGTAAAAAAGAGGCGGGAAGATATTCCAGGAACATGGATAACATAAACCAAGACAATGAAGTGGGTTATATATGCATGTGCATGTATAGACTGCACAGTTGGGAGAGATATAACCATAAGTCATCTTAGCAAAAGCTCTCCTTTTCTGACAATTTACTCTTATAATTCTTTTTCTTATGTCCAGGGTTATATGCATTAGTTTATGCTTGTTGTAATTTTGTTACATAGTATTGCACAAAGTTGATAGAGGATTTTGTCAACAAACATCTATTGAAAGTCTGCTAAGAGTAGGAAGCAATCCTGCATAGTGATTGAGAACATGGATTTGGGAGTCAGAGGGCTCTGGACTAGAGTCTAGCTCTACTACTGTAATGTGCTCATTCTTCTCTTCTCTTCTCTTCTCTTCTCTTCTCTTCTCTTCTCTTCTCTTCTCTTCTCTTCTCTTCTCTTCTCTTCTCTTCTCTTCTCTTCTCTTCTCTTCTCTTTTTTGTTGGTCTGCCTTCCAGACTTCTTTTCATATTTACTGTTCATTCACTGAACATTTTCTAAGTGTCAGGCACTATTCTAGTTGTTGGAAACTTTATGGTGTGTCAAACAGGTCTCATCTTTGGTATTATAAAGCTATACTCCAGTGCAGGTGGGAGACATTAAAATACGAATGAATATAAACTAGTTACATATTGTGATAGTGCTCTGAATAAATAACTGGGTTTGATGAGAAAAAAAGTAAATGACAAAGTTAGGAAAATGATAGTAACTACCTGATAGGTTTGTTGAAGATTAAATTAGATAATGTGGGTAAACAATTTAACATGGCTTCTGGGTCATATTGAGCACTTGGTAAGTGGCAATAATAACATGGTAATAGTTAAGATGATGATGAGGTGGGCCCAGCCCTTGAAGGGCTTGAAGTCTACTGAAAGACACCGTATATGTATGAATTATTATAATACATCATATGGATATGAAACTGAGGCACAGAGAATTTAAGTAATCAGATCAATATCACACAGCTAAAAGTGGTAGAAGTATGAACCCAGACAGCTCTGATGCCAATGACCACAGTCTTATCTGTCACACTGAACTCTCTCCCAAAGAGCACTTTTATTTTCTCTGTTCTCTTAGCTCATTGAGCACATTACTATTATAGTCCTTACTAGATTATATTTTTATTACCTCTTTCTATTTCTATATATCCCCTTAGACTCTGGAACCCCGTATTCCTCCTTGTTATTCCTATTACTTAGACACACATGGCTGGCATGGAGTAGATGTTCAATAAACTATTTTAAACAAATTAATGAAGAAATATATGACTATATATAAGAGAGTCCTGCACAGACATTCTTCTTCCCAGAAGCAGGTGCCAAGCTATCCAGAATGGGATACTACTCTGTTGTTGTATTAAGATAAAATTTCTTTTGGTGGTTTTCTTCTGAGTACAGAATATTAAACATTTTAAATGAAGAGTGAGAGGAAAATAAAATTGTGATAATTTGAGGTATTATAATCCTAACATGCTGAAAATATGAGAAAAATCACAATTACAGAAATACAAATCTGGAGGTGGGAAAATAATTTTCATCACAGAGAAATTCTTCATGGGTAAGAAAAAATGGACTGGAATTTCTTTGAGTATTTAAGGTAATTAAATTTACTAAAATAAATGTGCATATAGCAGCCATATTTGTTAGTTCCTTGAGGGCAGAGGATATAAAGCTCATCTACTTTTGTATATTCTACAGTGACTAGCTCAAAGTAGGTGCCAATAAGTGCACTTTTAAATAAGTTAACTCTGCAAGAACTTAGCAGTTGTACAAAGTGTGGCTTACCCGCAATGCCTATTTCATAGACCAACATCCACATAAAATCTCTTTGCATTGTGCAGTCCTGAACCATGGACTTGGCTCTCTAGTCATTTCTGTAGAAGGAAGATAGTGGTCCAAAGCTGGGTGAGACATTAGACCTCTGGAATATACCAGGACTTATATAAATGGTGAATAATAGTATTAATGATAGTAATTATAGCAAGACTAATAATAATTAACATTTATTTAATACATAAATATGCCAGGCACTTTTCTAAGTACTTTATGTACATTACTTTAAAACACAACAACCTATGAAGGACAGCCTCTCGTTATTCCTGTCATTATTCCCATTTTCCTGCTGAGGTACCAGGAATAGAGTTTAAGCAACCTGTTCATGGTCATACAGCTAGATTGCAGTGGAGCCAGGGTTCAAACCCAGGCAGTTTGGCTCCACAATTCATGCTCTTAACTACTATGCTACACTAAACTACGGAAGTCATGAGGTTATAGAATATTTGAGCTGGGAGGGCTATAGAGCTCATCATCATATCAATAGGGGCTCCCATCTATTTCAGTGGGTCTTAACTGGGGCTAATTTTGCCCCCTCCCCCAGGTTACATATGGTAATATTTGAAAACATCTTTGGTTGTCACAATTAGGAGCTGGGAGGTGTTACTGACATCTAGTGCATAGAGGCCAGGGATACTGTTAAACATCCAACAGTGTACAGGACAGCCACCCCCCAACCCAACAGCAAACAATTATCTGGCCCAAAATGTCAACAGTGCCAATTCTGAAAAGCCCTGCTCTGTTGCAGCAATTTTCATGTGTTCTTACTGGACAGTCCCTTATACCTGTTTTCTCACAATTCCTTCCCATCCACCACATGTGCAGCCAATCCTAACATCTGCAGTTTACACTCTACTCCCTTAGGCTACCATGGTAAAACTAACCTGATCACCTCCCCCCAACCAAGAAGCTATGAACATGTTTAGCATGGTTACTTTCATGCTTCACACCAAAGAAACGATCCTTATGGTGGGGAGTCCAGGTGCCATGGAAGGCTGACAGGGTACTGTTTACAGAGTGGTCCTGGGAATAGCACTAGGAATACCGTGACAAAGGAAGGGGAGAGGAAGTTCAGAAAATGCTTGCATAGAACAGGGAAGAAATCCCCATCTCTGGCATATCACACCCATACAGTAGGCACTCAAGAAATATTTCCTGCGAAAGATTACAGCACAAGGGCACAATTTGGTGTCCTAGAACTAAATAACATTGTGCTTCCTGTCTCTGGTTAAGAAAAAGGAAACAGCAGGATAAATCATGTTTTGGGTCTGCATTAAGCCTAGGGCTCAAGGTTTTATCTTCTGTTTGGTATTTATTGCCCATGAAGCAATATATTGTGCATTGTAAGTGTTATTTTGAATCCCTCTTCATTTTCTTTGAAAAGTAACAATCCATCATTGTTTGTGATCAATGCACTGAAGCCCTGCTCTTTCTCTGACCACAGTCATCACCACCAGTGACGCCACAGCTTGCAACACTGCTATGCAGGGTGAAGCAACTGACAGGCGTTTGTAAGACAAGGTTCCCAGGTGGCTTAAGAGAGATGACGCTATTAGTCAGGCAAGGGCTTTGTCTCCTTGTAGCCCTCAAGGGGATCCGGATGTCACAGCATATTCTTCCTTGGGGAAGGGGAGGGAAAAATAAAAGGGAAAGGGAGTTTTTATGCTAGCCTATATAGTAGGGACTCATTCTCATGTGGACTGTGAGTGTGGCAGGGCGGAGGGTGGGAGACAGTAGCTTGACCCTCAAGGTATGCAGGTGAAAACTTCTGGGTAGGGGGTGCTTTCACAAACTGAGCCTCACGCATCCAGGGAGAATCACTGCTCTGGTCTATAAGCTGCAGGGTCCTGGAGGTAGCCACATCCATGTTAGAGCAGTGATAAGGCTGTTCAAGGCTTTCAACTAGATCTATAAGAAGCTAGGGCACCAAGCCAGACTTCTAGATGGCAGCTGCAGTGAGGATGGGAGTGTGTTAAGGAGGAAGTCCACAGGTTTGGGCATGTGCCTCTCCAAGGAACTCATGGTACATACCCTACATTTATAAAGGCAACAGGGTGTAGTGGAAAGAATACAGACCTTGGGGCCAGATAGATCTCTGCTCTATTATTTACTTGCTTTGTGACTTTAGGCAAGTTCCACAAATTCTGTAGCCTGTGTATTCACCTGTAGTTGGAGATAATGATACCTTTCTCTCAGGTACTAAGCTAATGGTAATAATGCTGATTCCTAATACTGACTTAGCTCCTTATTATGTGCCAAACACTGTTTTAAGGCTTTATATATATTATGTAATACAATCCTCACAAACCCATGAGGTAGGTAATATTTATCATTAGACCCATTTTACAGATAAGGAAAATGAGACACAAAGAAGTTAGGAAGTTACACAAAGTCACAGATGGAGTTAATACTGGTGTTGAAATTCAAATTCAGGTGATATGGCTCCAGAGCCCACACTTTTAGCCACTGAGTTATATGTCATCACTATACTATAAAGAATGCTGAGCCAGAAATCTGACTCAGAGCAAGTACTCAGTCATGATCTTAGTCCCACTTCCTTTATCTTTCCCTTTCTTTTTACCAGTCAAGGAAGAAACCATTCATTTGCCATGTTGGGGTTGCTTCTCCCATTTCTCTGAACTGAAGTTAGGGGCCTCCTTTGTTATTTCAGGGTGGGCTGGCACAGGTTGAAGAATCTCAAGGATAGTCTTTGTCACTTCAAGGTCATTAGCTAAATGTGAGCCACAGTTAGTAAGAGCAGTGGCTAACTGCACTAAGAGGTTCTCTGGACTAAGAACCATAATTCGTCACCCCTGGCTTCTTGGGTTTCTGAAATGCCAGTGAACTCATACTATTCTGGTCTAGGGTGACTGATTGACTGTGGCCCTCTAGTTTTTAGGATTGCATCATCACATCCATTCCACATTTCCTCACTTAATATTTAGATAAACAACACTGAACGCATAGATGGCAAAAATGCTACCTTACCCCAGCTCTTTCAACATCTGCACTAATTGCCTGTTAAGTCACATAGTTCTTTCCTGGTTTTGAAACATACATATTAATATTACTGTCAGGATCCCAAAAGTTGTAGCTACTGATTTTCAACTAGAAATCTTAATATCTATCAAGTCAACTAATTGCATTTCAGGTACTGAGAATGCTCTTTAAATTAATGGCATGGCTGGTGGTAAAGGGGGGATGGAGAAAGGGAAGACAGAAGAATGAGCTCCGTAAGTGCCCAAAGCTCTGTGGCCTATGCTTTTCTGAGGTAAGTTGACTTGGCAACCTACTGCTACATTGTTGGAAGTCTGGCAAGATCTCTTGGAGAGAAAAAAAAAGAACAGCCCTGGGGTTAATCCACAAGCCATTTTTCCTTTAGCTTTGATTGCTGAAAATCTTTACAACATGTTTCAGTCCACTTCCTTGCCACAGGAGATAGAGTACAACAAAGAGAAATACAGCATGGACTAGGTATGGAATTAGGAGGGCTGAGTTTGAACTCTGGCTAAACTATTCACTTGCTGTGTAACAATCACACCTGTGTTTCTCAAAATGCAGTCCACCATGTACATCAGAATCACCTAAATATTAAATTAAACATGTTAAATCCATCACTACTGGGTGGCATCAAGGTGAAAAATCCATGTTTTCCTGCCCTTTGAGGGGCTCATAGACTAGCAGGAGAGACAAACATGAAAAGAAAAACTACTGCATAGTTGGATAATGGCTACACAGAGAGATGTGAAGAAGGGGGAGGCAGTTACTCTGCTAGGAAGATGAAGGGAGCATAGAGGATGTGATGCGAAGCTGGAGAAGGAGACTTTAAAGTGAGTTTTGAAAAATAAGTCAATTATTATGGCACTCTGGATATCTTACAATGTGTAGGAGATAAGGCTGTATCTGTGCTAAGTCTAAAACCTGGAATAGAAATTGTTGTTTGGGGGATGGGCATTTGTGTCAAATACTTTTCATACCTGTTTACTTATTATTTCTCTCTCCTACAACTAGAATGTTAAACAACTGGAATCATTTTGTATTTTCCAGTTGGTTGGACTTCGAGAGGATGAGTATGAGACTATACTGTTGACTTGCTTTGCAAGTCACTACTTATAAGGCCATGGTCTAGGTAACTGCGGTGGGACACTGGCCATGACCACTATAAACAAGGTGTTAAATCCTACTGATAATGGGAACTTTGGCTTGAGAACTAGCCGCCTCAGCAGAGTCATCCTCACTTATTAAGGGCAATGTTATATATACACACACAGACGCAGGAGGCAGTGCCTAATGGCTCTGCTTTAGGCCAGCAGGCCCGGCCCCTTTCTAGCTTCTTTGACTCTACAGGCAGCCTAACTTGAGTTTTCAAACTGTACCTCAATTTGACAAATAATCAGAAACCTTTAGTATACAGAGCTTCACACTGTCCCACCTTCATGTTTTAAAGTGATTTTTTTTCTGCAACACACATCCCTCAAACGCCATTATGTCTTTGGGTAGACCAAGCATGATAAACTCTCAAGCCTTAATGCTATGTGACCCTGAAAGAAGAAAAAATGTGGTTATAACAGTAGTTAAGATCATGGTCTTTGGATTAGATCTGAGTTCCAATCCTGACCCGCCGCTTATTAGCTGTGTGATGCTAGAGACATGACATAATGTCTCCATTCTTCATTTTCTACATCTGAGAAATGAGGACAATAATAGTACCTATCTCACCGGGCTGTGGTAAGGGGTAAAGGAGAAAAAATGTGAAAAGGGGACCCACTGCAGCGCCTAGCTTCAGTAAGTAGTAGTACAATACTAGTAATTATTATTAATATATTAACCACAGTGGACATTATCTCGGATAGCTTATGGAAAGCAGGGGCCACTGCGGGTGGAGGGAGAGCGCAGTGGTATAATTCCTTCAGGTGAAAAGGAGAAGTCAGTACCAGTACTGAAACCAGCCATTGAAAGAGTGTGTGGGGGGGTGTTTAAACAAAAAAGAACAAGGTGGCT